CTGTAAGGAAGAACCCTCTGGGCATCCACATGTGGAAATGCAGCAACGGGAGGAAAGAAACAATTTTAAATACGGTTTTCTAGAAAGTATACGTGTGGAAAGAAAGGAGCATTCGTGCTCCGTTGGAGAACTTTATCAGGATGAAGTTGCAACGCATCTCGGGTTCCTGCAGAGAAGTCAATGCAGAATAAGTGCCACAAACTTGGAATTTATTAGCAGCAGAGAGGGAGAAAAGATTTATCTGCAGTTCAGGAACAAATTTTAATATTTAAGATTTAGAGCAAAGCAAATTTGTCCACAAATATAAAAACTGGACATGGTGGTGGGAAGCGAAAACAGATGGCCATGCAGCAACTGGTCCAGCAGAAAAAGAAGAAGTTTCTTGTTTGGGTGTATTTTGTTGCATTTGGGCAGGGAGTAAAATGAGGAGAGGCAAAAATAAGAGACAATGGCTCTCAAGTTTTCACATGAATCACACAACAACGGTTGTTTTCTGTGTCAGGGTGTGACGTTTGTGGTCCATCACTAGTTCTGAGCTTAACCCCTAAGAGCTATGAGGTCTTTTCGTGTGAACCATTCTCAAATTGGAATCCGGAAAGGCTGAAAGGAAGCTTGTTTAGAATCAGGGCTAAGGTGGAGTTTGCAACTTATTCTGATGAGAAATGGGAGCCCAGAATTATCCGATCCATGCATTTCCCACTAGACATTTTCCAAACGGACCAGCTGGAACCCAGGGCCTGATTGGGGCCTTGTTGGGCCTTTTTCCCGCTGCCCTGGGGACTCTGGTGGAAGCATCTGTTGGAACTAGCAGGCCCTCCTGCCTCTCCGGCGTTTTGGTGACTTTCTTCTATGCTCGACAGGGTTGGAGTACTCCGAAGCAGAAGCTCTCATCCTCACCTTCTCCTTGAACAACTTTCTCTCCGGCGACCCACATGCCGACTTCGTGCTCTTGTGGGAAGAGCGTTTCCTGGAGGTGGTCCAGGAATTTCAGAAAAATAACTCCGAGAAGTACGCCATCGCCTACATGGCGGAGGTATGAGTGCCCCTGTCCCTCTACTGCTTGGGGGGCTGAATCCAGCTGTAGCGCCAGGCAGCAGCCTTCATGTGGACAAGGGAACCCAGGAGAGGAGGGCTGGGCGAAAAGGGTCTAAATGCTGGCATCTAAATTCCAGGTTATGAATACAGTAGAATTCCTTGGGAAAGGCACTTGTATGTTATCTGTGCTTTTGTTTAAACCATTTTAGCTGCCCACCTTATGGCCGACTCTGAGTGGTTCCCAATCAAAAATAGAAACAGCATTAAAAACCACAATAAGACCATAAAGCAATACTTGAGGGAATAACTTTATAAACTGTCGTGTAGCTGCATTTTAGGAAGTCCTGAAGGCTCCCGCTTCTCTTGCTGATAGCCAACTTTTAAAACCACCCGTGTCTGTTGCAGGCAGGGCAGGGCAAATGTGAACAGAGTCTCCTGTTGCCCTTCCGCCTCCCCCTTTCAGAAGAATTGGGCAGTTGGTTTTCATTTACTCAGAACTAACCGAGATGATAAGAAAAGCCCAAAATGCAGGTGTTGTGCTACAAATGCTGAGGCGGCTATCAACTGCTATCTGATTTCCCCCCCCCCCCCAGCCAATTCAACTCTCCTCCTTTTCCTGCGACTGCAGCGCTCCCTGGAGGATGAAGTCAGCCGAAGCACCTGGGAGGACCTCCCCATCTTTGCCATCAGCTACCTGGTCATCTTCATATACATCACGGTGGCCCTGGGAGAATACTCCAGCTGCAGGAACATCCTGGTAGGACGAAAAGACAGCCAGACAGCATGCCAGATCCCCCTACGAGTTCTAGCCTTCCATCCAGCTTGTGGGTCTGACGGGAGGGAAGGCTGGTCCCAGTTGGTCCAAGGAATAAGAAGAGCTGCCACAGACTCGCGGCTTCTCAGAACTTCCTCCAGATCAGGGTGAAACGTTTGGGTGGGTGGTGAGCCTGGCCTCGCCAAGACGTCTCTTCTGAGAGAGAAGCAGAGGGGGAAACTTTCAGCCGTGCCCGTGGCTGTCCCTCCTGGGCAGAGCAGCGAGAAGTGATGAGCAGGAAAGGTGGGGTACAAGGGAACGTGTGGATGGCCTTCAGGGGGGAGGAAGGAAAGAGATACTCTCCAGGGAAGAACCAGCCAAGAGGAACCCCCCCGGTGGGTGGCTTAATGGTCAGAGGAAGAAACTTAGGAAGGACCTGCCTAATTTATTTATTTTATTTTTATTTTATTTATTTATTTGTAATAGACACGATGGTGCACTTATGCACGGCCCCTTACAGACCTCTTAGGAATGGGGTGAGGTCAAAAGTGGATAGTAGTGGATAGTTTAATCTATCTATCTATCTATCTATCTATCTATCTATCTATCTATCTATCTATCTATCTCACTTCATCTAGATCTATCGATCTATCTGTGGTTATCTGTCTGTCTGTCTATGTATCTATCTGTATGTCTGTGTCTGTCTATCATCTCTTTCTCTCACTTCATCTATCTCTCTATCATCTATCTATCATCTATCCATCTAGCTATCTATCGGTCATTTATTTATTTATTTGATTTGTCAATCGCTTACAAGATAATAGGAATAAGTATAAACATGAGTAAGAATACAGGAAATAGGTACGAATCAATGGGGACAATAGGACAGGGACGGTAGGCACGTTGGTGCGCTTATGCACGCCCCTTACAGACCTCTTAGGAATGGGGTGAGGTCAATCGTGGATAGTGTGAGGTTAAAAGAATGGGGGGGGGGTAGAGGATGTAACAACAGAGTCAGGTGTGTGTTCCAGGCATTGACCCCTCTGTGGCTGAACCTAAAGGGGTCCAAAGGGGAGGCAGGAAGTCATTCAGACTTGCAAGATTCTGCTAATGCAGCCTTAGGACCCAGTGGGCTCCACTTCTCTCGGTGGTTTCCAGGCAGGCTGAAAAGGGGTTCCTCCCTGACCCCAGGAAGGGGAGGCTTCAGCCCGCCTGTTGCTCCCCCAACCTGTGGGGACCCCTGGGGCATTTCCTTCCTCATTGCCCGCTTATGCACCAGGCCATTCGGGGTGGGTGGATGGGGAGGAGAAGGTGGGTCTGGTTCCCTGCCGGGGCTGTGGCTTTCCCTCCCCGTCTCCTTTCCAGGTGGATGCCAAGCTGTCTCTTGCCCTGGGTGGCATTTTGGTGGTCCTGGGGGCCGTGCTGTCATCTTTGGGCTTCTACAGCTTCGTAGGGCTGCCCTCGTCCCTCATCATCATTGAAGTGGTGCCCTTCCTGGTCCTGGCGGTTGGCGCTGATAACATCTTCATCTTTGTGCTGGGACACCAGGTGCAAATGCCTCCCCATCCCCCCAAGACGGGTGGGCTCAGAACAGGCCAAAGCTCCTGTTTGGAACTGGGGTGCTGGGAAGAAACGGGGTTCTGGAGAGCCAGGAGCAAGGCCCTTCCTGCTACACCGGACTAAATTGGGGTGGGTGTTGCCCGGCTGAGCCTGGAGCGGCCCCGTCAGGCAGCCTTTCCTCTCTGGCTGGCCTCATCTCTCACCCGCCCCCCGCCTCTGCCATTGCCAGAAATCCCAGCCAGAACCTGGGGAAACCCCAGAGCAGCACCTTGGACGCACTTTGGGCAGCGTGGCCCCCAGCATGCTCCTGTGCAGCCTCTCTGAGGTCATCTGCTTCTTCCTGGGTGAGTGAAGCTGGAGGCTCTTCCCACATCCTGACCCACAGGTGCTATTGCGGGGGGCATTGGGAAGATGCTTTCCGTGCCAGGTTAATGCAACCTTTGAAAAGGTGTGTTTCAGCATTAGGATGTGAGCCAGGAAATAGGTTCGTATTATATGCTGGAAAACCATTCACTAGCCCAACTGTGCAAACCCAGCCAGACTGAAGTGGAGTTGTTGTTGTTGCTATTGTTGGTGTGAGTCTTTGCAACCCCATGGACATGCCAGGCCCTCCTGTCTCCTGGAGTTTGTCCGAGTTCATTGCGTTGAGGATAACTATGTGCAAAATTAAATGTCCCCATTTGAAAGCCTCCTTATCTCACCAGAGCCCCACAAGCGGCCCCTTCCACCTTATCCCTTCCTTTGGCTTTCTAGGGGCCCTGACACCCATGCCTGCGGTCCAGACCTTTGCCCTCTCGGCAGCCCTGGCAGTCTTCTTCGTCTTCCTGCTCCAGATGTCACTCTTTGTGGCATTGATGTCCCTGGATATCCGCAGGCAGAAGGTCAGGCCGGCTGCAGGGCATCTGGGGGCTGGGGGCATCTCTCTTGCAGAGCCCGCTGTGAGCTCTCCATCCCTCTGCCCACAGGCCTCTCGGATGGATCTCTGCTGCTGCGTCCGCGTGCCTGAATGCGAGCCCGTGAAGCCACACGATGGGCTTCTCCGTACATTCATGCGCAAGATCTACACGCCAGCCTTGCTGGGCAGCAGCATCGTCCGAGCTCTGGTGGTGAGTGCCCTGCCTGGGCAGAGTGGCTTGGAAGGGGATCGGGGTGGGGGGGGGAGGACAGGGGGGGGGGGGGGGGGAGAGCCAGCTCACTGTCAGGTTTCCGGCAGTTGCCCTAATTAGATTATGAGCCTCGAGCCAAACTTTAAAAACTTCAAAGGATTTATTAGGAGCGAACATGTCGGCATGATCTGTATGTAGCTGATTCTGAGACACGTAATTCACGGTCACCCTTGGCCCTGGTTTTCCCCCCACCCCCCACCCCTCTGGGTGTATCATAATTCACATTCTCCAACAAAACACGTCCATAGCCAAGAGTCATCAATCACCTTCTCCAATTAGAGATTCTGGTAGCTTAGTTATAATCTTTGCAAGATAAGAAGGGAATGCACTTTCGGTTGCAAAATGCTGCACAGCTTTCACATTCCTCCCCCCACCCCCCACCTTTCTGTTCATGGCAACCCTGGAACAGGCATAGAAACGTTTTATGCGTTGACACGCCCAGCTTTCCTTCCGGCCCTTCCTCCCATCTCTAGGTGCTGCTCTTCATCCTGCTTTTCTGTGCTGGCATCTACCTGACATTCCACATCGATGTGGGGTTGGAGCAAGAACTGGCGGTGCCCAAGGTGAGCAGAGGACAGTAGTGGCCGATCCAGTAAGCAGCAGAGCCTCATTTCACCCCTGCCCCTGTCAGAAGCCACTCCTGAGAAAACCTGCCTCCCTTCTGAACCCCTTTAAGCAACGACACCTGAGATGCTTTTATGGCGGATGCAGGAAGTTAAGTTAGAAAGGGTGGAAGCCGTACATCTTATTTCAAGGGTGTCCAACTCGATTTCATGGAGGGCCACATCAAGGTTGTTTTTGACCTCGGGAGGACTGCGGGGGGCATGGCCAACTCGACGTCACTTGTGTCGGGGATGCCTGTGGCGGCCCAAGCGCACTTCCAGCGAAAACAGGCTCCCGAGCTCCGTTTTCGTCTGCCAGGGCCTCCTGCAATCCCCTGCCAGTGAAAACGGAGCTTGGGAGGGCTGGATGCCCCATTTTTGCTGGCAGAGAGTTGGAGGAGGCCCTGGCAGCCGAAAACGGATCTCGGGAGCCCGTTTTCACTGGCAGAAGCACTGTGGGCCGGTTCTTCTCTGTTTCCAGAGCGGCCCTGCAGGCCACATCTAAGTATCCCGCAGGCCAGTTCTGGCCCTCTGGCCTTGAGTTTGACACCCCTGTCTTATTTTAAGCAAACCAGCCAAATCACTGGCTAAACATAGAAATGTAGTGCATTTAAACATTAATCTTCCTTCTGGCGTTTGTTCAGGCAGTGGAACCAGTCAGCTAACCTCCCTCTTGGCTGATGGAGCAAAAGGAAGCCCTTCCAGGGAACGGCATTCGCCGACCAGCCCTCCATTCCTGAAACATGTTCAGAAAGGCAGATTAGGTGGCTAAACTTCCCCTTGCTTTTCTCTTTGCTGCTTCAGGACTCGTACATGGTGACGTTCTTCCAGTTTTTCAACCGATATTTTATGGTGGGCGCCCCAACGTACTTTGTTGCCACTGGTGGCTACAACTACAACTCGGTGCCTGGAATGAACGGCATCTGTTCCAGTTCTGGGTGTAATAATAACTCCATGACGCAGACGATCCAAATGGCCACCAAGTTCCCTGAGAAGTAAGCCACTTTGAAGCTGCTTTCAACTCAAAATTAAACTTTTTGCATTATACGTATCTTCCTGCTATTAAAAAAAAGCACGCTTTGATTTTAATTTTCCATATGAAAGATGCTAATGGTGTTTGAAGCCGAAGTAATCGCCTGGCTATCTAAACGTGGGCCTGTAAGGAGGCAGAGCTATAGAAAGCTGCTCACTCGTGTTTGTGGTTGCCCGGCGTGTCCCAAACTGGAATGGCATCAGATAAAACTCAGGCACCAAAAGCACCTCAGAAATCTCTGCCAAAGTTTTTTCAAGCCGTCTTTGGCTAAGGCTTCTGTCAAGGCCTTAGGAGAAGAGACCCCAAGGCTGACCTAAATCCTGAGCTTTCTTTCTGCTTTCAGGTACTATCTGGCCATTCCTGCTACTTCCTGGGTAGATGACTTCATCGACTGGTTGAACCCCATATCCAGATGTTGCCGCATTTACAAATCTGGCCCTGACAAGGGCAAGTTCTGCCCCTCGACCAGCAGTAAGGAACTCTGCTCAGGGAGGGTGGGAGAAGTTCACCCCATCTCAGGGCAGGTGGCCAAAGGTCTACGGGGCCCTGGGCTGGGCCAGTGTCCAAGAGTTTGTCTCTCTTTGGTAGACTCCCCTGCCTGCGCTTTCAGCAAATGCATGGGCAGCTTCCAAGGCAGCCTCCGGCCAAACAGAGAAGAGTTCAACAAATTCCTGCCCTGGTTCCTCCAAGACATGCCCAACTTCAAGTGTCCCAAGGGGTGAGTGCCACAAATGTAGCTTGGAGGTCTGTTTCCATTCGGCACCGTTTGCCCACGCCGTCCAGAGGTTCATCAGCCTTCCTGGTGCATTCATCTCTTCCTCCCTCTACAGGGGCCTCGGGGCTTATGACACATCGGTACGTCTGGGGTCCGATGGGGAGATCTTGGGTGAGTAGAACCCAGCAATGGAAGGCACTTGTCAGGGTTCCGGTGATTGCCCGAATTAAACAATGAGCCTCGGGCCAAGCTTCAAAAGAATCCAGAAGATTTATTAGGAGCAACATGCCAGCATTAATCTAAATGAAGCCAACTCTGGCATACGTAATTTACATTCACCTGTGACCCTGTTTCCCCCCTCCCCCCTGGGTGTGGCATAAATCAGATTCTCCAATGAAGCATGTTTTCACTGTGCTGGGTGTCATCAATCACGTTCTCCAAGTAAGGATTTTCCTGGGCAGAAGATCCGGTAGCCTAGGCTACAATCTTTGTGAGATAAGTGTTGGAATGTACTTCTGGTTTTAAACTGCTGCCCTGCTCCTTCAGATTTCTTCCGTCCCCTTTGTTTATGGCAACTTGAAAACATGCATAGGAATGTTTTACGAGTGGACAGTGCTATCTATGCGGGCCAGCAGGAAACGACCTTGAGTTCTATGTCATCCCGCCTAATTTCAGAGTGGGATTGTGATTTCTGGAGGAAGGCTGGTCTGGGGATGGAACAACATCACACCTCTTGCCTCCAACAGCATCCCGGTTCATGGCCTACCACACCCCGCTGAAGAACTCGCAGGAAAACACGGCAGCGTTGAAGGTGATGCGGCAACTGGCGGCTAACATTACGGCTACTTTGAGGGAAGTTCCCGGCACTGACCCGAACTTCCAGGTCTTCCCTTACACGTACGTTGCGGGAGGAGAAACTTGGCAGACCCGGGGAGGGAGCTGAGGAAGGAAAGGGCTGCCGTGGCCCCCATCGCAGGGCAAGAAGGATCTGGAAGCCATCTACTCTTAAGGGAGCTTCAGGGCTACACATTCCAGCCATGAAATTGCGATTGGGCTTTTGGGTTTTGCTTGGAAGAGTCCAAAGCAGATTCTCGGCTACCAACATGAACCAGCCAACGGGCATGGCTGCGGGGCGAAGGCCCTGACCCTTAAAGGTCCTGAGCTGCCAAATGGTGGAGAGCCACAGAGGAGGGGAAGGAATGGTGAAGACTGGACTTTGGGCCAGTTGCTTTCTCTCTCTCTCTCTCTCTCTCTCTCTCTCTCCCTCTCCCTCTCCCTCTCCCTCTCCCTCTCTCCCTCTCTCCCTCCCTCTCCCTCTCCCTCTCTCTCTCTCTCTCTCTCTCTCCCTCTCTCCCTCTCTCTCTCCAACTGACCTCATGGTGTTGTGATTGTGAGGGAAACTAGGAGGAGGAAGGAGTATTAGATATGTTCGTCACCTTAAGTTCCGTATAAAAATAATAGCAATAGCAATTGCACTTAGACTTATATACCGCTTGATAGTGCTTTACAGCCCTCTCTAAGCAGTTAATAATGCCAGGGTATAAACAAACAAGTAAATAAATTACTATATTGATAGTTTGTATAGAGCCTGTTTCCTGACATGGCCAACCTCCAAGGACTGACCTCAATGCACCATTCTGCATGGAAGTTCCTAAGAACCAAGCAGGCTGAGATAAGGGGTGATCCAGCTGAGGATGACAGGCCTACAACATCTGGGCAGCTTCAGTCCTTTCCTTTGCAGTATAGTGTCCCTCCTGAGAAAGCACTTCAGTCAGAGCTGGAGAAGCTTCTTCACGAGAAGCGAAACATCTTCAAAGAAAACCCAGAAAGTCCAGTTGCCTCTTGAAAAAATAAAATAAAAGCACCTTTGGGGCAATTCAGATTTAGGGCTCAGCAAGCTGTGGGGAACCATCTTAAAGGGTAGAGAAGACGGTGAGGAGGTGTAACAACCCTCTGAGGTGCCTTGAAGGGCTGTCATGTGGGAGATGGTCAAAGTTATTCCACAAGGCAACAAGAAACAATTTGTTTAAGTTATAAGGAAGTAGATCTTGTTTGGACACCAGGCAAAAGTTTGCCTGACGTTGAACCAAAGGGAAGAAGCCTCGAGAGCTGTGGCACTCTCCTTCCCTGGGGAGTTTAAGTGAGGCAGGATAACAACCTGTCAAGGACACCATAAATATTGTGGTTGAACTGGGTAAGGGGTTAAACTAGACGATCTCTAATCTCCCTTCTCAGGGAGGGGGGTGGGCCTTGGAGTGTTCCCGGAAGGGTCTATGAAAACTCACCAAGGCCAACTCGCCATGGGACAAGAGTTGCACTAATACCAAAGAAAGGGTGGAGTAGATTCATTCAAGAAAGGATGCGAAAGGAGGGACAGAATGGAATGGGAAGGGCAAAAATTAGGATAGGTTTAAATTTATTTTAAAGAATGAAATAGAATTGTGAAATTGTTCCGTGGTGAGTGGGCTGTGGCGTGTTGGCCGTAGCAAGGGGTCCCACTCCCTTCCCGGAACCGCTTCTCTTCCCGCAGAATCACCTACGTGTTTTATGAGCAGTACCTGACCATCAGCACCGTTGGCCTCATCAACCTGGCCCTGTGCCTGGTGCCCACCTTCGCCGTCTGCTACATCCTGCTGGGGCTGGACCTGCGCTCGGCCTTCATCAACCTGCTCACCATCATCATGATCATTGTGGACACTGTGGGGGCCATGAAACTTTGGGGAATCTCCTACAACGCCGTCTCCCTCATCAACTTGGTCACAGTGAGCCCCCCTTTCTTTCCTGGGGATGGGCACCACGGCTGTGTGCGGGGGAGGCGGGGGAGGAGAGGGAAGGGGGGGGTGCCCAAGCGCCCCGTGGTCCTGCCAGGTGCGCTTAGCTTTGCCTTCCTGGTGCTTAGGGCTTTTCTGGAGTATCCACCTGCTGCAGGGCCCCCACTGGGGATTTTCTGGAGGTGTAGGGTATCACAAGGAAAAGGCCACTCGGGCGCAGAGGGAGGAGCCCACCTCTCGAAAATGAGAGGAGGGTAGAAGCAGCAGCAGCAGTCTAGGTAGGAAATGGGGCAGAATGGGGCTGTCCTGTGCCTGTTTCCAAGTTGCCCTAAGAAAGAGAGGGAGGGGGAAAAAACCCGAAGGAGCATAGGGCAAATGAGCTCAGAAGCACATTCCAAGCTTATCTCACCAAGATTGTAACTGAGGCAGAACCGGGTAGTCTGGGCTCGAAAATCCTCTATTGAAGAGTGCGACTGATGACCCCCCAGCCTATAAAAGGGTTTCGTTGGACAATCTGAATTATGATGCCCGGGGGTGGTGGTGGAGAAACAGGGTCATAGGTGATTGTAAATTACGTCTCTCAGAGTCAGCTTCCTAGAGGTCATGCCAGCATGTCACTCATAATAAATCTTTTGGGTTTTTGAAGTTTGGCTCCAGGCTCATGATTTAATTAGGGTGATGGCTGGAATCCTGACAGCGGCCTTTAAAAAACTCTGTTTTTTTAAAAGGGAACTGTTTTGTTTTTTTTTTTTTTTTAAACAAGTTTTATTAATTTTTAAAACACACAAATTATCATTATTCATTACATGTTTAAACCTTTTTCCCTTGTAAATTTAACAAGTCAGATAAATTATGATTCTGTTTTAAACCATTTCCATATAATATACCAAAACCTCTTATTCAATTTCTCTTTACTTCTCTTTACTCTTATTCAATATCATTATTATTATTTCATCTGTTTCTTTCTGACTTAGTTACCATTATTCTCATTCTATATTTCTACAAGTTTTTACCAATTCTCCCCCCAAAAAAGACATATACACACAACACACAAAACATAAAAAAAATATCTTTTTGGAAAGTAACTTGGACCCAGGTGTCTCTCTCTTCATGGACTTCAATTATATTCATGCTCATCTTACATATCGTTACTTATTTTATTTACCATTCTAAGCCTTCTATATTAACTTCTCCACATATTTCACACTTCTTAATTCTACCTTAATTAATCATCTTAGTTTAAATCATTATATTTGTATCTTTTGTCCATTTTTTATCATCCCTTTGTCTCATCCCTTATGAAAAAAAAGAAAATCAGTTTCTCCTGAAATCATTAATCAGAGTATGATGCCTTTCTATCTCCCCCCTAAGTTAATCAAATTAATCTTTAAAATAATATCTAATACCCAATCAGATTTTGCTTGGTACATTCTATCTAACTAATACATCCAACACAATTAAGTGCATAATTAGAGAATAAATCCAAATATTAAAAAGAAATACTATAATAAAAATTTTATAATAACATCAATACCATAATTTTATTAAACTCTTTAATTAAAACAATATTCTAAACCTCTCCTATTATTAAGTTTTAAAACCAATCATTTTTAAACATTTTAACATTTTAATCTCTTATCAACTCTTAAACCATTGCAATACTACCATCTCATCTTATGTACCTTGCAAAATCTTTTTTTTTTTTTAAAAAAAATTATACTTTATCCATTATCCATAAAAAATTCCTTTTTTCCATTTAATTTCAAAACATTGTAGCTTTTCTCCACCTTTTCCCTTTCTTTCTTTTCCCAACAAACCTTTCTACCCCCCCTTCTTCTAGCCTCTGCCTTACCGGCTTCCCTTCTCTGTCGTATTTCTTTTCCCCTTTGTTTACAATCATCATATTGGTTTTGCACTTTATTTTTCCCTTTCTTAAATGTTTTTTTAGATCTTAAGTCCTTAAATCCTTTAGTTTTCTTCTTTTCTCTTCTTTTCTTTTCTTTCTCTCTTCCTTTTTTCTGGATCAAATTCTGAGATTCATTAAAGATGGCTCCTTCCTTTCTTTCTTGTTCCTCTGCTGTCTTCATCTGTTGTAATTTTTGTTGATAATTAGTAAGCGCCATTTCTAAGAAAAGGAAAGCTTCTTCCACACCATTTCTTAGTTCCTCAACAGAAAGAGCCATTATAAATCTTTTCTTTTCTTTTCTCCTTCTTTCTTCTTACAACAACCAGAATATTCAAAAGAAAATAAAAAAGATAAAACAGTCCCAAAGTTATCAATCAGTCCAAACCAAGGCAGAGTTCTCACTTTCTCCTTCTGGGGTGATATCAATCAAAGAGAAAGAAAGTCCAAATCTGTTTAAAGTCTTGTTACAATATATTCTAGTCTTCAAATCCTTAAGGCATCTGCTCCAACAAATCTTAGCATACAAATATTTTCTTTTTAATCCTCTCTCTTCCCACTCATCGCTTAAAACCAATTTCCACCTAAAAAAATAGGTTTCTTAATATCCAGTTATTTATTCCGTAGGAAAAGAGGGAAAGCTATCCTTTCAGCACCTTCAAGCAGCCGCTTTTTTCCTCTTCTGGCAGGTATTATTCAGAAAGTCATACTTTTCAGGAATTTTATTAAATATGTCTTAGAGTCCTAGGAGCCAAGAAAAACTTTCTCCTCTCAATCACTTTCTCCACTTCCTCCTGCGCATTCTTACCCGGCTGCCAGCTTCTTTGTGGCGGCCATTACGGACCACCGCTGCACCGTCCTGGGAAAAGGGGGTTCTGCCGGCCAGGGAGGGGGTCTGCAGCACCCCCAAACCCTTCTCCGGATCCCCCCTACCTTCAGCTGCCCCTGCAGGGCAGCCTAGCTCCGTACCCGGCTGGGTCGGAGCCCCAAAAACGGCTAGCGCGGCAGGGATCGCGCAGCTTCGCAAATCCCTGCCGCTCGCGAAGCCGACAAACCGGAAATCCCCAGGGAACTGTTTTTATTTACTAGAATTCTGTGGAAGCTTCTTGGATGTCGGAGAGGATCCCTTCTGGGGCAGGAAAGGCAGCGCTCAAACCGATGCATGATATTATTTTTTTTGACTTTTTTGTCTCAAAGCTGCAAACAAGGCTGAGCGTCACTTTTCTTACAGTCTGCAAAGATTCTACTTCTCTGCCCTCCAGGACTTTCCTGTATCTGCAGCTGCTGGGAGGTCCTGAGCAGTTCCTGCTAGGCCAAATTCCGGTCCAGTTTGGTTCCCCGAGTCACCGTCTTTCGTGCAGAGAGTGAAATAGTTAGCTTTTCCTTCCACGTTCACTTTTTTTTTACTTTTACCCTGAACTTATCCCACCTCCTCTTTTGTCTTGGTATGTGTGATGTTTTGCCTGCCCCTTTGAGGTTTTCCAGCCTTGACTTTTCTATGTGCTGCCAAAAAATTAGAAATAGAACAATAAAGGAAGAGGATGAAAAGGAACCTCAGTGGTCTTCTAGTCCAGCCCCTGCTCAGGTAGGAGACCCTATACCAGGGGTCTCCAACCTTGGACACTTTAAGACTTGTGGGAGTTGAAGTCCACAAGTCTTAAAGTGGCCAAGGATGGAGACCCCTGCCCTCTACCATTCCAGGCAAATGAATGTCCAATCTTTTCTTGAAAGGCTCCCACACAAAATATCGACAATACTCTTGCGTGGGTGAACAACAACGGCAGGTGCATCAAGTGTTCTTTCACTGCTAATTGCTCCACTCTCCTGCAGGCCGTGGGCATCTCTGTGGAATTTGTCTCTCACATCACCCTCTCCTTTGCTATGAGCAAACAACCAACCAAAGTAGAACGCTCCCGAGAAGCCACAATCAACATGGGAAGCGCGGTAAGGAGGAGGCAAAAACGGGGCCAAGAAAGGCGGGTGGAGGGAGGTGTGTGCCACAAACGGCATACTGCGGGCACTGGTTTTATTTGGAGTTATCCTATTGGTACAGACTGGTGAAAACCAACTTTGAGACTTCCCCTGGTTTTCACCTCATTAAAAAGTAAAAGTTTCCCCTTTCCCCCCAAACAATAAGTCACATTGTCCAATCTGGGTGCTGGCCGGTAACCTGGTTACTTCTCTCCTCCTCCTCTCTCCAGCCAGCTGTTGGGATGTCCTTGGTTCTCAGGAGAAATTATTTTGTTTTGGCTACAAAAGCCCAGCTATCTCTATTCCCCACCCTCCATATCCCTCAGCTCCAGGGTGGCAACACTGAAGCCTGAAAAATGGCCTCAGTGAGACCAGCTTCAGGGTTGACAGGCGCCCCCCCCCCCTTAATTGAAAAAGAGGTCCTGCAAAGAAAAGAAATCACAAAGAGGTTAGCTAAGGTTCAGTCTAGCCTCCTCTTCCTCCACCTGGAGGTCCCTTAGGTTTCTACTTCCCAATTGTCCAGTTGGCCATGAGATCAATCAATGGGACTCTCACTTCTCAGCCCGTGGGGTCGGCCGTTGCTCCCATTACCTGTGGTGCTGGTGAGGTGATCTCAGTTCTGCCGTTCCAATGTTCTCCAGGGCGAGGGACTTCTTGCCTCGAAATTCCCAGGAGCAGCCCTGATCTTCACCACCCCAGGGCTGCCCAGGTGTGACGCTTCCCTTCTTGCAGGTGTTTGCTGGTGTGGCAATGACCAACTTGCCAGGCATCGTGGTCCTGGCATTTGCCAAGGCTCAAATAATCCAGGTCTTCTTCTTCCGCCTGAACCTCATCATCACCCTCTTAGGGATGCTGCACGGCCTGGTGTTTCTGCCTGTCATCCTCAGCTACTTCGGTAAGTCTCTGCTCCGCGTTCCCCGGTTCCTTTGGCTTCTCTGCCCTGTGGAAGCTAAGGAGGCCCTCCACCCTCAACGGGTGGCGGCTGCAGGCTTGCTGGAAGGGTGTCCTCTGTGGTCCGTTTGGAACTTTCCTCCTGGCTCCAAAATCAGAAGCAGGAAAGAATGTTATAGGGGTGGTTGCATTGCACGTTACAGTAAAAAAATGGAAATGCCTCCCTCTTAGGCAATGGCTGTGTGTGTGTTTGTGTGTGCGTGTGCATGTGCAGAGGCACTGAGGAAAGGGGGAGTGTTGCTAGGGTGTAGCAGAGGGAGGGCTTCTTCCCTGAAGGAAGGCAGAATCCAAGAGGCTGCCCTGAGTCTATCCACCCTGGAAAGGAGGTGACCCAGTCTGCCCAGTAAGGGTTAGGAAGTTTTTTTTTTAACTCAGCAGCATTCCGCCTTCTTGTAACCCTTTCATTATTTGGTGCCTGAGACCCTCTAGCAAAGGAGGAGAAAGACATAAGGCATTTTTTTTTATCCCGTTATCCGAGTTGGGAAATTATAATGGGATGTGTAAAATAACCTTGAGGAGGAAGAAGAAGAAGAAGAAAAAGAGAAGGACGTAATGTGAGAAAACATCTTGCATTTGACCTCTTCAGTTAACCAGGCAGGGAGGAGGGAGGCACACTCAGATTCTGTTCTTGTCACCGTACAATAAAGGTGGTTTCTAGAATTCACAGCTCTGGCATCTGTCTGGTGTCTGTTCAAAGAGCTGAGAGGAATGCTGCTGAAAAGGACGACAGGTGGGAGGCTCCTGCTCAGCGTCTCTTTGTCTCACCTGGGCAGCTTCAACCTGACTGATGTTGAACTCATGAAACCCAGGGGCTCCAAGCCCTCCAGAGATATATCCCACCCAAGAGGGTCTTTCTGTGCTCCATCTTCCTAACTCTCCTCCTCTCCTCCCAGGGCCTTCGGTCCGTCAAGGGACGCCAGAGCTGCAGCCAAGAACGGAGACCCCCTCCGTCCCTTTGGAAGGCAAAGGAGCTCCTAGCAATGACCAGACCTCTCCAAACAACCACAGCCAAGATCCAGCCCCAAGCCCCGAACCAAACAACACGGGCCTCTAGAAGTCTCCAGGCCTGTCTGCAGGGCAGAAACTTTGGCCAGCGGCTGGCCCGGTCAGTAGCCAGCCTGAGCAGAATGGAGCAGGGGCGGTGAGGAGAAGACAACGGCTCTCCCTGCTTTCCATTGCAACACGCGTGGAGCTGGCTTCACACATCGCGCTAAGCCACTGGACAACTTATTTGCGGCTTAGAAGGCTGTGTTATCCTAGCCAGTTGTGCCACTTCCACCAACAAATCCTGGTTAAAGCAAGTTGGTGAGATGTGATGCAGCTGGCCGCGAGTAGACACATCGTGCTAAGCCATGGTTTAAAAACAGACTGCTTAATAAAGCTACAACTCGTTGGGCTCACATGACATACTAAGCCACATCTGTGTGTGCAAGTGTGTGTGTGTGTGTGCATGCATGCCCTGTCGAGGAAGCCTCGACTCCCGGTGACTGCTTCTTCCTCCTCGGACTGAGAGAGAAGCCGCCCCAGCCGGCTTCCTGCCCCAATCTCAACCCTTCAAGGTACATCAGATTCGGAAACCAGGGCTGGGTTAGTCAGTACTACTATTATTACAAAGCAGAATCTTCCTTTGGTAGCAGAATCTTTCAAGACTGAATGTGCCTCCCCCTTCCTCCCTCTAGGGCAGGAGTGTCAGGCTTGATTTCATTGAGGGCTGCATCTGCTATGCTAGACCTTGGGAGGAGGGCAGGAGGAGTGTGTGGCCAGCTCAGCATCACTCGTGTCAGGGGCGCCTGTGGTGGCACTCTGCCAGCGAAAAAGGGCTCCCAAGCTCCGTTTCCGGCTGCGATCGCCTCCTGCAATCCTCTGCCAATAAGAACTGAGCGTACGGCCGTCTTGAGCTCCCTTTTCAGTGGCACAGGCACCACGGGCCGGTCCTTTGCTGTTTCCAGGGCAGCTTCACGAGCCAGATCTAAGCACCATGTGGGCCAAATCCGGGCCTAGGACCTTGAGTCTGACCCCCTTGCTTTAGGGGGAGGGAGGATATGAAGTAGCGAAAGACCCGCCTGAAACATTTTCTCATTCTTTCCCCAACTCGGGTCTCTCTTATCTGACCATTACCTTGGTAGCAGCTTTCCCTCTTGCCACTACAAATGGAGGACTAGTACTCACAGTCTCCTGGTTCTACCCTGGTGCCTTGACCCCTACACCAACCTGGCTCTCATGCCACATTTTGCTTAATGTATCTGAACCCAGAGGAGCTGGCCAAAGAAACGGTGACAGGTGTATATCTAACACAGCAGATACCCCCCCAAAAGACCCTTCAGAATCTTCTATCTGTATCTGTTTGATATTGTACGAATTTAGTTTCCATCCAGAATGGGGAAACTTTGTCTGAAACACTAATCAACTAAGGAGATCAGGCAAAAAATCTAAACCTGGCAACCAAACCTTAGCTCAGAAGTCGGTTACAACTGGACAGACTTTGGGTTTCTCCTCACAATTCTTGGTCCCCAAAAGTCTCGACCAGGGACAGTTGTGGATACCTGGTTAATGCTCAGCTCTTCAGGGTTGGACTTACCTTTTCTATTGTCACCCTGAGTTCCATAGACAAAGGTAAGAACAGCTGCCAGGTTAAAAATGAGATGTGTTCTCAAGTGTGCCTTAAAATCAAATTTCCAACGTTAAGTTGGAACTTATGACTAGAAAACTGCTGAAAACAGGCTGCATATTAAAAACATAGTTTCATGAAAATCTTGCCTAGCTCCAGCGGTGTGTGGACTCGAAGACAGAGAATGCTATCTGCCATTTTTACTAATTGCCAGCCCATTTATAAGTACGAGTTGTCTGTAAAGCAGATGTTCTTAACCCAGAGGCTGCCTGTGTAATAAATAATCCCTAAATTATTTGCACCAAGACAAATTCCTTGTGTGTCCAATTGCACCTGTCCAATAAAGAATTATGTTCTATTAATTAAATGGTATTTTCTTGGGAGGAATTTTTGACCTTACTAATAAAACAAGAAGGAAGTTTCTGGATCAAAATCTGACTCCTGTCGCTGAAGCTACTTCCTCTCCTGTATCAGAATCGGCTTCTAGTTTTATTCATTGATCCTGCGGGATGGTTTAAGATTTACCTGACCCTTCTCAGTAGTGTTAAATATGTCTGTCACTCAAATAAAATGGAAAACAGTTATCATATTGTTTAATATTTCAATTCCTGATCTATACTGATGGGGATGGAGGGAGAGCAGTCCTCAAAAACATTTTTAAAGTGTTTTGTTTCTCTCATTCACTGATGAAATACCAATAGCTTTAACATGAATTATTTGTTCCTTATTTTTTATCTTCATCTTTCACCAAAATATCGCACAAGGTGGCTGACAATACAATTTATAGCGTTGTCCTTAAGATATTAATTTATTTACTATATTTAATCACAATTTTATTTGTTCTGAGCACTGTGAAACCAAACAAGGACAATACAAGTGATGTGAATGTAACAAATGCAGAACAGCTCAATCAAGAGGGTCAGAAACTCATTCAAGGTGAGTTTTGTGGGGGCTACCATTGCCGCCATGAAGGCTCAGCAGGTCTTCCTGTTAGAAGGCCTCTCCGGATGTCTGTGTGCCCTCATATAGCCATACAAGGTGCTATATAAGGAATATCCAGCATGCTTGAATTGAGCCTGGAAGCTAACAGATAGCTAGTCAAGTGATCTTAGGATCATTGGTATTGTTGTCCCATCAGCATCCTGGTTGCTGTCTTCTGGACTAACTGGAGTTTCCAGGTTCTCCCCACTGAACATTTTGCTAGAGTTCTGCAGTGCAGCTATCAGGGCTTGAGTTACCTTCACCAAGGCATCTCAGTTAAGACTTACACACCGCTTCACAGGGCTTTTTCCAGCCCTCTCTAAGCAATTGACAGAGTCAGCCTCTGGCCCCCAACAATCTGGGTCCTCATTTTACAGGCCTCAGAAGGATGGGAGGCTGAGTCGACCTTGAGCCGGTCAGGATCGAACTGCCGGCAGTGGGCAGTCAGCAGAAGCAGCCCTAAGCTTTTGCTGCCTTCTGATTCTAAGCCTTGGGGGCTCTGGTGCAAGGGGTGGAAGTTCATCGGAAGGGAATTCAGCCTGGAAATAAGGAGGGATTTTTCCAATCAATCAATGAGCTGGAAGGGACCTCGGAGGTCTTCTAGTCGAACCTCCTGCTCAAGCAGGAGACTCTAGAGCAGGGGGTCTCCAAAGCTGGCTGGGGAATTCTGGGACTTGAAGTCCTCCAGGCTTAAAGTTGCCAAGGTTGGAGACCCCTGCTCTAGAGTCTAGTCTAGACCATTTCAATCAATCAATCAATCGATCGATCGATCGATCGATTTCCCTACAGTGAAAGCAAATCGATGGGCCAACTCGCTTCCCGGAGTTGTGGGCGCCCCATCGCTGGAGGCTTTCAAGAGCAGATCCGAGCGGGGTGGGGGTAGACTAGAAGACCTCCAAGGTCCCCTTCCCGCTCTAATCTGAATTTGAAAATTTGAATCGGAGGCGCGCGGCGGAAGCCGGAAAGGGCGGGGCGTTCTCCGGGCCGGGGACGAAACTTCCGGCAGGGGCCCTAGCGCGACCCCTGGCGGCCAGGAGGAGGCGGCGCAATTCCGGCCTGCAGGCTCCCATGGCGGCGGCGTGGCTGAGGGGCGCAGAGGCGAGTGGTGGTTGGGGGGGGGGGGGGGGGGGCGGGGGGGGGGGGGGCGGGCGGGGGGGGGGGGCGGGGCGGGGGGGGGGGGGGGGGGAGGGGCGGGGGGGGGGGGGGGGCTCGTTGCGGGGAGGTGGGGGGGGCGCTCTGCGCATGCCCATTCCTGACCGCGCGCTTTCTCCTCAGGCCTCCGCGCGGGCCCTGAGGGGCGCCTGGGGGCCGCTGGGCGCGGGCCGTGGCTTCCGGAGCAGCGCCGCCCTGGAGAAGGTAAGGAGCCCCTCGGCCCCGGGGGGGGGGGGGGGCCCCCCCCGCCGGGGGGGGGGGGGTGGGGGGGGGGGGGGGGGGGGGGGGGGCCGCCTGGCCCACGCGCGCCCCGCTCTCCCTTGCAGTGCCAAGCGGGCCGCGTCCGGCCTCGGAAGGGGAACCATCCGGTGACGTACCAGGAGGCCCACCCGCCCCACTACATCGGCCACCGCAAGGGGTGGCTCTCCCTGCACACCGGTGAGCCTCGCCCCGGGGGTGGGTGGGGGAGCTGGGGACCCAGAAAGGGGAGAGCCCCCCTCCCTCGCCCCCCCCCCGAGATCGCCCTTTATCTAGCAGGAGTTTTGGGGGAGGGGCTGGAAAGGGGAGGAACAAAAAGGGCTGCAGCTGCAACCACCCAATTATGGAGCCAGGGGATGCTGGGAAAAATAGGGGCTGCAGCCTGGAGGTCAAAGGGGCTTTTCTGAAAAAGCAAAGCATTGATTGGATGTTTTAAATCAGGGGTGTCCAACCTTGGCCACTTTAAGACTTGTGGACTTCAACTCCCAGAATTCCTCAGCCAGCTTTGCTGGCTGAGGAATTCTGGGAGTTGAAGTCCAC